AGAATTTCGGGAAGGGGAATCCTAGGTTGATTAGCTTATAGGATCACCCCATACAATGTCCGGTAAATACTCCTCAATAAGGGGCTACACGTGACATTAGCGCGTATTCATCATATCCCATATCTACCCTTCCCATCCCCTTAGTGGTCATTCAAAGCGAGTGTTGGTCAGCGACCTCTATTGCGTGTTGTTACACGTCCCTTCTTAATGGTCCTGGAGGGATTTAGGACCTCTACCTATAGGTGGTTCTAGACAGACCCCTAAGATTTTAAAGGTGAAAATACTAAGGCGACAGGCAAAATAATTAGGACTTTAGCACATAAGATAAAATGGAGCAATTAGAGGCTCAAAGTTTCCTCTTCAAACAAGGCACATAAACAACACGATTCAAGCACAAATAAAGTTCTTTTGTTAAACAGTATCCTAAGGCATGATGTCTAAGTGAATATACAAGCCAGACAGTTTGCTTTATAAACATAGAAGTTATGACCCTATCAGTTGCCTATTGATTTTAAAGCTTGTTCAAACCAGAACAATATTAAGTCACATGAACAGTTTCAGAATTGCAAGTTTTGAAAACGCCCTACGGGCTTACCTATACGCGGAATACTGATGACTACATTTTGTATAGTGAAACAAGGTAGGTTTTGAAATAGACTCTTTAATCCCTAAAGGCATGCTGTCTAGTAACAGATTAAGGCAGTTTTTAAAAAGAACTTGTTTCAGGGAAATATAAACCACTTAATTAAACCAGTTAAGAAGTGAACTAAAACCGGACTGGGTTGATTTATTTAAACTGGTTTAGATCTATAGACAAAATTCTGACGTTGTCCCCTATAGACATGATATCTAATTGGTTAACACTGATCTTAGAAGCTTGCAGGCATGAACACATGTAAACACTTGTTAAAACAGAATTTGGATTGAATTATGTCCTATAGGCATGACATATACTTGTGAGCTGATTTTAAGACTTGTAAACATGAGAGCCACTTTTTATTATATGGAGTGTTTGACAAAAAAAAAAGTTGCTTAAAAAAGGTTAAAATGTGCTTAAAAAAAGCCAAAAGCAACAAGTTGGTTGATCCCAACTTTTTCGATTTTGGCTTAAAAGTCATTTTGGGTTGACCAATAAAATTACTCTTTTGTCCATTATAACTTTTCATAATATCAAACTTATCCTCAGTCAAGGAAACTCCAAAACATTTTCTTCTCCTATTTTCTTCACATATGAAGGACCCGTTCCTCTTCTTTCATCTTCCTTTCTACTTCATCTTTCATTTTCCTCAAGTATCATTTTCTGATCCACTCGCGTTACTTTTTACCAATTCTACTTGACTATAGAGCATCTTTCTTCTACTTTATAAAAATTATCTAAAGTAATCACATAAATTAAAATATAAATTATTTTTTATTTGCATTAATTTATAATTAAATATATTATAGTAATCAACTCCTTTATAATACTAATAGCTTTAAGGATATTTTTGTCTTTTTAATAGAAAAAAGTGCTTACCAGCACTTGTTTACCAAACACTTCAACATTTTTTTTTAAGTTTCAGCACTTTTATCCAAACAGGTAACTGCTTATTTATAAAACAAGCTCCAGCACTTAAAAGCTGCTTTTAAGCACTTGTACTTAGAAGCCACTTTTTTTAAGCCAATCCAAACGGGCTCTGAGTCTTATAGGCATGGTTTCTACTTATAAAGGAAAACTCAACAAAATGTAAAGTCCTATAGGCATGGTTTCTACTTATAAAAGCAAACACAACAAATTGTAAAGTCCTATAGGCATGGTTTCTACTTATAAAAGCAAACACAACAAATTGTAAAGTCCTATAGGCATAGTTTCTACTTATAAAAGGCAAACACAGCAAATTATAAAGTCCTATAGGCATGGTTCCTACCCGTATTACCCCACAAACATGTAACTACCCACCCTTTTACTAGTTATCCCAATATTCGTTTACAAATTATTACAGACCATATGAATGAATTACATAAGTAAATAAGAAAATAAAAAGTTATTCTATAGGGAGCCTACATATAGGCCCAGATTTCCAAAGCCTCCAATAGCCTCAAGCGCCTCAATTCCATAGACAATGTCATAGTCTAGGTGCATCAAACACTACAAGAAAAAACCTTATTAGGGACCAACATTTAGTGACAAGTTGTAATTATGGTCCCTAAAAGTGTACTTATAGGGATGAGAATTTTTTTTGGTCTTTAATATGCAATTTTATCTCTTAAATACACGACCAGACCTGTTCTGGTCTGCACAAAAATTAATATGTGGTCTCTAATATTGGATTTTAGTGGGATAGGGGCGGGAACTAATGAAAACTAAAAGTAAAAAAAGAAAGAAAGAAAAGGAAATTAAACTCCAAAATTTCACGGTATCCCTCCAAATTGTCTTTCACCCTAAAATCTCTCAAACTTTCAGCCTAAAATCCCTAAGAGACTGCCGATCGAACTCGTTCAAAATTCAAAATCTCGCCGCTAAACTCCTTCAAAATTCAGAAGGTCAAAAACTCTAAGAAAGGTTGCAAAGAGCGAGTGAGGCGGCTGCTAAACTTCGGCATTCAGAACTCTATTCAATTTCTTCNCTCTGTTCAATTTCTTCTTTGGAGGCCGCTAAATTTTGGAGGCCGCTAATTGATACGAATTAGAAATAGAGTAGTTGCAGGAAGTAGTACTCTAGGTTGTTGGAAGTGTACATGGGAGTTGAGCTTGTTATTTACCTATAAGTTATTACATTTTATATTTGAGTCCTATAAGTAGTTATTTTATTTCACTTTGACCACTAGGTTTTACTTTCTCTGTATGTACCAAGTTTGCCATTTTCAGAGGCAATGAATGAAAGCTGTTATTTGCTTTTTCTTAGCTTAGTTTAGTTTTTAGCTTTAGTTTCTTCTTAAATTCTCATATTGTATCAGTGGTATTAGAGCATCGATTCTCCGACCTCTATTGCAATGGAGGTGGATAGATTTCTCCCACCATTCAACTATTATAATGACCCAAGAGCTAGGCATCCATGGTTGAACGCTGTATTGAATATTCCAGCTACTACACCAGATCCTAGACCTGAAGTTCTGCCGCAAAATTTCAGTTATGCACAAGGTACTGATTTTTATGGTCATTGTAATACGGGATATGGGGCTCAAAACATGGGGTATCAACACCATTTCAATCAAACGCCTCCTCTATACACTTCTAATTTCAGTCCACAACATCCTTGGCAAGTCTCAAGTCCCCAACATGTCCCTTATATCTACCAGCCCTCTGAGTTTGCCCCTGATGTTCCTAATTTTTGGACTGCAGGCGTGGTTCAGGAAGGAGCTGCGTCTATGGGTTCCGTCGTGGACACAAGAATGATTGGAACCAACTGGAGATTTGAACATCCCAATCCTTCTGTGTCGTTTCAATATCAACAGTTCCCTGTCAGCACTTTTGTTTCTGATTTCTTTCCAAAAGACCCCTCAGTTGATGAGGTGAATCCCACTGTTATCCACAGTAACACCAGCTTGAACGAAGAAAGTCCAAGCAGAACTTGTGTCGTCGAAAGTTGTAATGATGCAATTTTAGAAGTCTCGCGGGAAACAATAATATTATCCTCCTCTATTGTTAATGTTCATCATCCCCACCTCACCAACAGTTCTCCTATCTGCGATTTTGGAGCTGATACTCTCTTCTCAGGAGGTTTGTGTCCCTAGAACTTCTATCTTAGATGTCGCAGTTGCAAACAGCAAGGATACTAGCAGTATGAGTGTGCATTTGGAGGTTGACTTAGAAGAACATGGAGCTGATAAGAAAGGGAACAAGTTGTTTGTGTGCCCCTCACCCCTTGATGTGTATGCGCACAATATGTTTGATGAAATGCCAGTTAATGAAATAGGGAAGCCTTTTGACGGATCATTTTCTCCTGAAATGGCTTCAGAAATGAACGAGGTTAAAGAAATGGTGCAAAAGCTTGCATTGCAAATGAATAGCCTAAGCTCGAGGCAGGATAGACATAAACTTCAATTTTCTTCTCAAATGGGGAAAATTAAAGATTCATGGGCAACTAAGAAGAACTTGGATGATGGCACCTATTATATCACAAAGAAGGTCAAGAAGGGCAATGGACAGATAAATTGTACCTTGACCAATGAGAATCTTGATGCAATAGATGTGACCAGAAATGAGACGAATAGTGAAGCAGTGCCAGAAGGAGTTTCTTCAGCTGTTGAAGCTGCTGTAGAGGTTGCACAAGGTGTGAAGACTGGTAATGCAACTACTGAAACGGGGACTGGACAATATGAGCCTATTGGGATATTAAAAGGGGCCAAAACCAGGGAGCTAGAACGAGTACTTGAAACACCAAATGTACTTAGAAAGGCTTCTAGTGTTTCTAATTCAACAAATTGTATTTCCGAGCCAGAACTCATAGTGAAACCATCTAACAGTGGTGATTTTTTTTTTTGCACAATGAGAGGGTCAATAGTTCTTGCAGTTTGTGTATTGATGCCAACAAGTCTGATCCTTCATCAGTGATAATTGTAATTCTGGAGCACAAACAACTCATCATTGAAGAAGGAGCTTTGCCTTATACTAATGATCTGTTGAAGCATCACAGGAATGGTCAAATTTCTCGTGCTGTCAATGCTAATATCTGGAGGGCACACGGAAGCGCAAAATTTGCTGAGGAGGATCATAGCAGCACACGAGACAAAACCAAACAATTGGAAGAGAATAATTATTCAACACAAGAGACTCCTGCGCCCATTGAAGAGTGCGACAAAACTGTTTTGAAAACTAAGGTGGAGAGGATTCTTGAAGCAAGAAGAGAATATTTTTCAATTGGAATCGATACTGAACCTAACATACACATAAGACAACTGGGAATTCCTTTTTTCCATCCTGAAGTTGCGAGTGGATATTTTGTTTTAGGCTTGGTGTTGGTGTCTGCTAAACCAATTACATGGGAACTTCTAAAAGATGATGCCAAAAAGGATCTCATAGGTTCCATTCCAATGGTGAAGGGCTTTGAAATTTATGGGGTGAAACTTGTACCTGCTGATATGTTTTTGAAGGGAAGGGATGTGCCAGAAACAACATATGCAGAATTATTTGCATTTGAGAATGGTAGCAACATGCGTTTTAGCCAATATGGTGTTGTTGACCAACACTTGAAGCATTTCCTTACTGGAGGAGAGTTGCTGACTATTGCCACTGAATTTCTTCTTCCATTGTTAGGAAGAAATCTTATAATGGGGAATTTCTCTGAGATCCCATTCGATCCAGGTGTGGTTATTTCTTCATTTCCACATATCACTCTTGAGGACAAGGTTGGTTTAATAGGGAAGTGGTTTGCAGACTTTCGTTTCCAAATAGCCTATGCGTGCTCGTCGGTTGGAATTTCAGAGGCAAGGAATCTCCTTAGGCATATCTTTGTTGCTATTGGTTTACATGTTACAGAATGCATTAATGCTAAGAAAGGAGAAAACGTTCTCTTCACCATGCATCCAGAAATGGCATGTCGTGAGTTCAGATGCGCTCACACCATCTATTTTCTGGGAAGCGATGGCATAGAGGTTGTCAAGCTTATCAATGATGAAAGGCTTATATTTGGTGCATTTTGCTATGCTGCTAAAGTGACATTAGCTGCTTTTGGGAAGTTACTTCAAGTTGCTTGTCGCGAAATAACTTGGCTAGGCGACTGTGCTAAGATGATTGCTTCAGGAAATCAGCCATCGCGATGGGCGACACCTCTGGATCTCCTTTTTGTCAGACTTTTCTTTAAAACGCAGCGGCATGATATAAGAACTTCTCTTCAAGTTTTGGCTTTGCAGCACAAGGGTGATTCAGTTGAGGATAGGAAACAGAGAACTGTCACTCACTGGATGGTTCACATATGATGATGATTGTTGTTGCTTGCAGGGACGGGACTACANTGATTGTTGTTGCTTGCAGGGACGTTGGACTACGATTTGCAGGGGTACATGATCCCTTTTGGATTCATGTTTGGGATGTCGACCAGATGAACATGATACTCGGGGAAAAGTTTGTGCAATCTGTTCTTAATGTTTCTCACATGGAAGATGAGGGTAAGTCGCAACGTAAGACTGCTGTATATGAGGCGTTGAACGAAGTTGTTAGATGTTTGAAAAATGAAACAGTTTTCATGGTCTTGCAAATTGATCCTAGTAACCGGAGGGAATCCGAAAATTTTTCTCTTCTTGCTGCAATTATAAACAAGTACAAGGGTGCTATGATAGGGAGTGTGCCTCACTGGTTCGAAGTTGCATTCCAGTATACTATGGAGATAATCATGGCAGATTTTGAAGATTATCTTAAGCATTGGCTTAAGTTCCCTTTTCAGGCAACTACTGCACATTATTCTTCTTTGATACAATAGAAACCATTCAAGCTTGTTATAGATTCTATTCCATGGACCTTTAGGCACATTCAAAAGAACATTGCTGGTACCAGACTAAATCTTTTGTTGGAGTTGTTCAATAATATTCAGCAATTACTCTTTCCAGCCATGTCTCATCGGTTGACTGAATTGCTATGGGTTGCTCCAGAAGAGATGCTTCAAGATGTCAGAAGCATTGAAGAAATACCTCAATGCGTCATAATCATTGGTGCTGAAAATTTGCTTGCCGATAGAATGGTTCCGAAGAGATGTCTCGATCCAAGGACAAGAACTTTAAGAATTGAAGTAGCTTCACATTTTCCATTTGATCCTGGATGGATTGAAGTCCTCACCCTTGAGGACAAGGGTGTTGTTCAGGGGGAAGTACTTTACACAATTTCTTCTTTGGAGGCCACTAAATTTTGGAGGCCGCTAATCCTCCAAAGTACTTTACAAATTATACTATTGGATTATCCGCTAAACAAGAGTAAGTTCAATTTCTTTCTCTTTGATATGTTCTGTTTTCTTCTTCTTCTTCTTCGTGTCCTTTTTCCCTTTGAATCAGAAATTGCAAAAGGGGTTCTTTAATTTTTTGTTTCTTTATTTGTTTTCTGCAACTTAGAACTCTATATATGGAGAGTCAAAATCCGGGTTCTTCAATTTCTTCAATTTGAATCAGAAATCGCAAAAGGTTTCTTCAATTTCTTTCTCTTTTATTTTTTGTTTTTATATGTAGAAATCTCTCTTACTAATTGACCTTTTAGGTTTTCCTGTTTATATAGTTTTGTTTATTGAAAATGTAGAATGAAGATAAGTTAAAAGTAGTTGCTTTTATAATGATTATAAAATAAATATTTACAGCACAAAAAGTATAATTCTCATTAAGAAATCATGTCTGCAAAGTCACATAGTTCCTGTAACAGCAAGATACTCTATAAAGCTTGAAGTTGAGATTTTTGATAAGATTACATTTTGTACTTTTGGTGTTTAGTAAAACTCTGACCTAACACTGTTGTGGAAAAATCTTTTAGTACCATTTTGCAGCTTGTTGGTTGCTTTGAATAGTGATCTTTTTTGGTGTGAGTGATAAAAGTGAGATTATTGGGTTTAAAATTGGGTGATCTTTATTGTGTGGAGAAATTTGTACAAAAGAGGGGCGGTTTGGTTGCTCGTAAAATCATCGGACATTGGAGAATGTCAAGAAACCCAGAACTGAAATTTCACCAAAAATGGGTATTGGTTGCTCGTATTAGGACTGCAAGAGAATATAGGCTGAACCTCGTAATGTTCTGATAAGGTCAATGTTTTGAGCGTTAAATTAATCATGTTCACAAGACACTACTGTCAGTTGTCAACTGTTTTCCTACACTTTCCAGCACATATGTTGTGCAGTAAAAAGCAAACACATTATTCTGAACAACAAAAAATTTGAAATACATCCAAGTACCATTTTTCCTTCTATCCTTCTCCTAGTTCTGCCTTATTTTGCCACCCACAAGTGAACCTAGCTGACACTAACATATTAATGATCAACTATATCAACTATTATAATATAGGCTCTATTTTGGTTCTAGTTATAATGTAATTGATTGGAAAAGATTATATTTGATGGAGCGGAAAATATAGTTCTTCACTAAATTAACAAATCTTGGTGTTGGATTTTGATTATGTTAAAGATAAATAGCATTTCATGTTCTTGTGCTTACCTGTAGGTTTTTTAAGCTATCCTTAGGATATGGTTGAACTCCATACTTCAAATATATATACATAAAACTAGTTCTTGATTAAAAAAATGACAAATATAGCTAGTGTTTCATTAGATAACAATTATTACAATTTTTTTAATAGTAGAATGATAGTTATTGTATCATTTTTTTTATTTAAGGAAGACAAGATAAAATATCAGTGATTTAATTTTAGAGTGTCTTATATGTTTTAATTTCTCATTTTGTTGAGCAATTGTGAGTTATATGTTATGCATATCAACTTGTAATTTATTTTATTCTTGTAAAATCGTAAGAAGTTTAGTCATAAAGATGAGTCTGGCAAGTGTAATAACAAGTAATGTGCATCGTAGTACTTTCTTTTATAAGTAATGTGCATCTTAATGTTTTTTGTGATCTTAATTTTTTAAATATTATTTCTATTTACTATCCAAGGTTATGGCATCAAGTAAGCGATGAATGCAGCTTGTTGATAACCGACTTGACGAATCCTACTTAATTGGAGTGCAAATTTTTTTGAATTATGCCTTTAGAAGAATAGGAGAATTGTATGAAATACGATGTCCGTGTGTCAAATGTTGTAACACAACATTAGGAACACGTGAGACAGGCGAGATACATTTGAAAGTATATGGAATAATTCAAAATTATACTTTTTGGTATCATCATGGAGAAGTTTTGGGTGAGCCACAGTTGGAATGCGAAGTTGAAGATAATAATGAAGTAGATGATTATGAGGATAAGGATGAAATACATGAAATGCTAAGGGATTTGTATCCTAATCATGATGGAGGCCCTGCTGATGTTGGTTGCAATGATTTACTTGAAGAAGAACCAAATGTTGAAGCCAAAAAGTTTTACAGCCTATTGAAAGATTTCGAGAAGCCACTATACCAAAGTTCCAAAATTTCAAAACTTTCCACTTTGATTAAACTGCTTCACATAAAAAGTATGGGTCATTGGAGCAACGAGTCATTTACAATGTTATTAAAAATGTTGAAGGATGAGATGTTGCTTGATGGAGCGAATTTGCCAAATTCATATTATGAGGCAAAGAAGGTGATTCGGGACCTTGGGCTTTCCTACCAAAAAATTGATGCTTGTATAAATGATTGCATGCTATATTGGAAGGAAGATAATTTACTTGATTCCTGTAAAGTCTGTGGTGCATCCAGATGGAAAATAGATAAACATAGCGGGGAAGCAAAGAATAAGAATGGTAAAAAAATAGCATCAAATATTTTACGTTATTTTCCATTGAAGCCTAGGCTTCAAAGGTTGTATATGTCTGCAAAGACATCTTCTCTAATGACATGGCATCATGATAAAAGGGTTGATGATGGAACAATGAGGCATCCAGCTGATTCAATGGCATGAAAATCATTTGATGAACTTCATCCCTCATTTGCGGTTGAGCCTTGTAATATTCGACTTGGACTTGCTAGTGATGGATTCCAGCCATTTCGGAATTCAAAAACCTCATATAGTATTTGGCCCGTGGTACTTATTCCTTATAATTTACCACATTGGTTGTGTATGAAACAAGAAAATTTCATTATGTCCATGCTTATACCTGGTCCAGATAGTCCAGGAGATGCAATTGACATATATCTTCAACCCTTGATAGAGGAGTTGAATGAGTTATGGGAAATTGGTGTTGAGACCTTTGATGCGTCAAGCTGACAGAATTTTAAGTTACATGCTTCTTTGTATGGACCATCAATGACTTTCCAGCATATGCATATTTATTTGGATGTAGTACAAAAGGTAAATTGGCATGCCCATGTTGCAATAAAGACACTTCCTCAATCAGATTGAAGAATAGTAAGAAACAATGTTTTATGGGTCATTGGCGTTTCCTTCCTCTTAATCACAAATGGAGGAATGATAAGGAGTCATTTGATGACACAAAAGAGAAAAGGCTCCCGCCAAAAATGCGTTCTGGTATTGAGATACTTAATCAAGTGCAAGATCTTAAAGGGTTACAGTTAACAAAGGATCCAAAGAAAAGGACCAAGATATCACATGATGTTCGAAAAGATAACTGGAATAGGAGGAGTATCTTTTTTGAACTTCTATATTGGAAATCACTTTTGTTGCGACATAATTTGGATGTTATGCGTATTGAAAAAAAATATATGTGATAATATTTTGGGGACGATCATGAATGCCAAAGGAAAGACCAAGGACACCATTAAAACTCGACTCGATTTGCAAGAAATGAACATTAGGTCGGAATTTTACCCAATCAGAAAAGGAGAAAAATATGAAGTTCCAACTGCATGTTACACATTATCTCCCCAAGAAAAGCACAACATATGCCTTTTCTTAAATAATTTAAAGGTACCAGATGGATTTTCATCTAATATTTCTCAAAATGTTAACTTGAAAGAGCACAAGATTTCTGGATTAAAGAGTCATGATTTCCATGTTCTTCTACAACATTTACTCCCTCTTGATCTACATGGTATGCTATCCAAAACAGTGTGTGAACCCCTTATCGAGTTGTCTTTATTTTTTAATGTGCTTGGAGCAAAGGCATTAAGGACTAGTGACTTGGATCAGATTGAAGCTCAAATTCCTATAACACTTTGTAAGTTAGAAAAGGTATTCCCTCCCACATTTTTTGATGTCATGGTGTACTTGCCTACTCACTTAGCTAATGAAGCTAAGCTTGCTAGACCGGTTCAGTATCGGTGGATGTATCCTATAGAACGATGGTTATATTTTTTGAAATCTCTCATTAGTAATAGGGCTTGTCCAGAAGGTTCAATTGTAGAGGGGTACCTTGCAAATGAATGTATGATCTTATGTTCTAGGTATCTAAATAGAATCGACATAGTTTAATCGGCCAGAACGAAATTACGATGGTGGTTTAAAAAATTCTGATGGAGGTTTATCTCTATTTTGTAAATCTGGAAAAACTTTAGGAGCTCCAAAACATCATGATCTTGAAGCAGATGAATCGGAGCAAGCACATATATATATATATACTGAAGAATTGTGATGAAGTTTTACCATTTCTAGATTATGAAATTTTGTCCTTCATATCGTATTTTGTTTTCATTATTTCCTTTAGGATTGTTTATCCTTTATGTATGATATTTGTGGTTCAACTAATTTTTTTAGAGAGTTTGCATGAACTCATGTGGATTCTACTTAACACTTGTCTGATACAGAATGGAATAGACAATTTACTGACTTTTGGATTCAATTTAATTATTGTAATAGCAATATGTGGTAGTTTAGGGCCTAGATATCAAAATGCATCTTTTATTTGTATGTAGTTTGTTTTCTATTGTGATATGATGATCTGTTATGAAACCTTGATGTAGAATGTCTCAGCAGAATCAGTAAGTTTACGGTTTTCTATTTGCTGGAACTTGTGTTGTTTACCATAGCAAGCTTCTGGAACGTCACTGGTCAGGCATGTTTTGTTCATTACCTGAATCGATTTTTGGAGTAGGTTAGTGAAAGAAACAAAGTACCTAGTTAGGTATCCAAACAGAGAACCTAGTTGTTTACAATGAACGTATTGGAATGGACAGTTTCAGTGTGAAGAAACACTTAAATATTCACCATTTTCGTGCATTTGCATATCATTACTGGTGCCATTGGGACTACCTGGATGATGCAGTTACTGTTGGTGCATGTTCTATGTTTTAAATTCACAAAATTGAAATAAAGCTAAGGCATTTGTTAATTCAAGCTTTATTGTAAAACTATGTTTTCTTCTATCACATGGAATTTCTGTAATGATATTGGATATCAATCTATGTTTGATGTATTGGAGGATAAATTTGAGAGTGATGACATGGATATCCATCGCGATCATATTTTGGGATGGATGAAAGAGTTATGGAACAAATGGAGAGGACAATTGCATGCAAAATATGTGAAGGGTAAGCCAATCCAAGAGGCTCTTAGGAATGTGCCCAAGGGGGTAGACAAGAAACAATGGGAGTGGTTGGTAAAGGAACATTTTTCTACAGAAAATTTTCAGGTTTGACATAATACCTAATTATGTAATTTTATTTTATACAGTAATATTTTAATTGATAACTTATTTATAACATTTGATTTAATGTTGTCACTCAAATATAGGCGAGAAGTAATAGGAATGCAGCAAATAGAACTAAGTTGAAGATGCTTCATCATATTGGTAGCAAGTCAATTAGAGAGATTATTTATCAAAGGTGTTATCATCAAATCTATTTTTGCTTAATATTGACGAGATATTATTTGACATATTTACTTTTATGTAAAGAGCGAAAAAGATGGCAAACCACCAGATTTGACAACTATTTTCTTTGAGACTCGCAAGAAGAATAACACACTTGTTGAAGCTAAAACAATCGAGAAACATGTGCGTTTGGTTATTGAACATGTTCTTTACTTTTAGTTATTATGGGATCTGATAAAAATATATACTTTGTAGGCTCAAATCAAGGAATTGGTGCAGTCTGAACCGTCACTTTCTAACGTAGAAATTGTAGAAAAATGCTTTAGACCTCAAAGTCATAGTCATGTATTTGGCTTTGGGGGTGGATTAAAGGTGAAAGATTTGAAAGGGAGAACTACCTCAAAACCTGAATTATTGGCTAAGCTACGTTCAACTGAAAATGAAAATCAGTCTTTGAAGGATTGTCTGTCTAACTTCGAAAATGAGATAAGAGAACAGAAGAAAATAAAAGAATTAGTATTAGCACAACAAACTAATTTCCAGCCTCCAGCTCAGGAGAATGACTATTGGGATCCTTGATGATACCAGGTGAGTAACAACTTACATGAAACCTCAATTTATTTTGTTGATTTAAGTGTATGTTATTGTATATCATTTGCGAAATTTATTCTTCTATTAATTACAAATTTCATCGGTGTCAATTCTAACAAGATTCTGTCTGATAATGTTTGAAAATTAATTTAGGGATGGTGTGGGCCTAAGAAAATCTGAGTTTTCTTTTGTAGTAGCTAGAGATTGTGAAGGAATCTCCTGGATCCTGGTGTGACTGAATAGTCATGACCATTATGCCCTCCTCCTGTATGTCACCACTAGAACTAGTGTCCTCAATCCTCATTGCTATCTTTTTCCCCAAAAGAAGCTTCCACCTAGGATTTGGAAGTTTTAGTAAGTCTCCCATTACCAAAGTTCTGATTATTGATCAAAACCTTTTCACCTTCAGGGGCTTTTCTCCTTTGACTTGGTTAAAGGTGGCAAGAAACTAGTTAGTTATTCTTTTGAACATTCTCAAACTAAATTCTTATGTCAACTACTAGCTTCTGCAATTGTCGGAGACCTTTCTTACATGCAGCAGTGCTCCTTAGCAAATGATTTTTTTCCCTCTATATATTAGGAATTAATGACTTCATCTGATGGATGATAAACTAAGGATAAAGCTGATCTTCCAGTCAAAACTGTTAACAACAATGATCACTACTCTATTTTGGCCCGAGAATTTTGTAGGAAAAGCCATATTGCTTGTCCCACAAGAAAAAGGTTGTTACACATTCCTTTATCTCTTAAACTAATTCAGGATGTAGAATTCTGCACCCTACCTCATTGTGGCCTTGCAATTTGCTTTCTCTGTAATATTTGGGCAGACAATCATAATTAATCTTAAAACTGTTCGGACTTCACTTCACCTGTATAATCATCTTCAACTTCTTCTACTTCAACTTGAATTTACTTTGGAAATTCATCCGGTAGATTAACCTCCACCTTCACCCTCACACAACTAGGTCTAGTCTTATTTTGAGAAGCCGTATTAATCTTCAAGGATTCCTAACAGCAGAAGCTATTCTAAACATGACTCCTTCACAAAAAAGGTAGGAGACAAGGCTTGAAAAGAAATCTAGGCTACAACACTAGGGGTTTCCTCCTCCGACTTAAATCACGTATCATATTTGAGAGATCTATCTGGTAGTACTAATCCTGATGTTTAATATAGTGCGCAACTTTGGACATTATATTGACATAATTCTCCAACAGTGATAAACGAATCAAAACATGTCAATCACACAAATAACCAACCTGGCAGGGACACTTAACTTCACTTTGGATTGGAACCAATCTTCGTAATTCTTGTAAATCTGGCCATCCATAAGAAAACTTACCAACAACTGCGTATTGGAGATTTTTCTATGGCTAACATGCGCTTGACTTCTCTAGATTTCCAATGAACAGAAGGTTCTACACGAAGAAACGATAGGGTTTTGATAGGAATAGGTCCGATAGGCTGCATGAGTGCATTTAATGTGCATGATTGATCTCTGTGGAGTAACTTTCTACAGCTCAGTTCATTGACACTGTTTTACCTCTTATGTGGTTAAAATTTGCAAAGTCATCTATTTATCATTTCTTTCACTAAATTTTGTTGTCTGGGTGGGGGAAGCAAGTCGGTTGTATCCTAATCATTGTTGATACTAGACTTTTTTTTGAAAACTTGAGTATATATACGTGTGTTATATATAGTTTTTCTAACTGAAATTTCTTATTTCTTCAACAAGTTTTGGATATTGAAGTTTACGAGAAGCCGATTTTTGACGATATACAGATCAACCATCATTTTGCTGGGAATTTCAAGAAAATTTTACATTACAATCGAGGGATATTATTAGTATATGTAGTTTTTTGCTAAATGTTTATGAACACAATATTGTGACTAACTTACATCATTGATGTACGATTCAACTAATTAACTTATGTTGATCATTTTTGGTATTATTTTATGAAAGCAACATTATCAATATATTAATATTTTCGATTTTCTAGTTGCAAACTAAATGTGATTTAGGGACTTGTGACTTATTTCTTTAGGGACTGTCACACCTCCTTTTTCCGCCCCGCGAGGGGACAAGGGAGTTTTTTTCAATTAAAGGACAATCGAAACGGGATTGGTTTGTTTATTTCAGAGTCGCCACTTGGGAGATTTAGGGTGTCCCAAGTCACCAATTTTAATCCCGAATCGAGGAAAATAATGACTCCATACTACAGTCTGCGTACCAGAAATCCGGATAAGGAATTTTGTTAACCCGGGAGAAGGTGTTAGGCATTCCCGAATTCCGTGGTTCTAGCACGGTCGCTCAACTGTTATATTCGGCTTGATTATCTGATTTTATACAAATATGAACTTATGTGCAAATTTTAACTTTTTTACCGCTTTCATAATTACTATTATTATTTTTTACAAGGAATTGCAACGTTGTGAAAATGTATCTCGAACCGCGTTACAATCAATGTACCCGTGGTCGTTGACACACTTTGACGCCGTTGAGATTTTAAATTTGGGCCACATCAATGTGCACCCGAGTTTAAGGAAATTAAATTATTAAAGGCACGCCTAAAGCGACTAGCGTATCATCTACTTTGGGTAGGGCCGTGAATTTTTGCTAAACGGTCCATCCCGAAGTCTAAGCAATTTTAAAGCAAATATTTACTGAGGGCCCCGCAA